GAAGAGTCTTCCTATCTATGGATCCACAAAATGGTGAAATTTCACGTGCTATGCGGAATAGAAGTGTAGAAATATATGTGAGTGAAGAACAGCAATGGTACAAGCATCCTTTGGATGTGGCGACTGTGATGTCGTCTCCAACGAAACACGTACCTCTTGAGGTATTGGACCTAGAAGTCGTTAATGGCAATGCCTATAAATTGCAACAGTCTAGGTCTCAAAAGCACTTTGTTCACTGTCTGCGGAGAAACAATTGCACTTTGGTGCCCTGCTCAGTGAATTGTCAGTGCCAGAAGCATGTCGGATGTTTGGTTTGAAAAACATCGATAGCATGGTTGACACCCAGAATATCACTTTTGCTCCTTTTGAAAGGGAGATAGGGACTGAGAGGTATGGTATTTTTTGGTTCTTATGTGTGGGACATGCGCATCATACTTGCGCACGATAACATTTTTTTGTCGTTTATTTCCAGCTGTATTTTCCACCGAATTTCACTCAAGAATTAGTTGCTTTAGTTATGATTTGTGGTTAGCTAAAATATGGAAGGAGTGTAGCGGAACCGATACCTCTTGTGCACTACTACTTGCATTGCTATCGACTTCAACAGCAGCGCTGAGAAATAATCTGTTTCAACGCGTTTTTGGCGATAATGGTGAGTGATGGTGTTTCAGTTTCGTTCTCTTTTCCCCCAATTTTGTGCCGTCGTTTCGTTCCTTTTTTTAATGTTATTTCCCAAACTTCTGGTCTATTGTTTTGTCCTAACAATGATCAACAAAGGATTGTGGCACCATTTTTGGCTCTCTTGCAAACTTAGCAGTTACCCGATAAACAGGATGATATCTTACTTTGAATACATGTTTTTGACTACTGAATCAGTCGCAGATGATAATACAAGTTCCGGCTGTAACTCCACTTAAAAGTATTGTTGCGAACTAACATATCATCTTCTAGGGTGGAACCAGGTACAGCATACGGTTATGATGTTATATATGTGTTATACAACCGTCTCCAATAGTCTAAGGCACTTGAGTCAATATGTCAATAAATGCCCAGTCCAC